AAACTATGTTCTTTCGCCACCAAAGTACACTCCTCATCTCTGAGACGGAGTAGGCGTGGCTTTTTCAGCATGGCATAGGACGGGGTTCTCGTGGGATACTTCCATTTGAAACAACTGCTACCTTGTTGTATGTTAGATGAAGACATGATGACGACTGTCCAAAATGACAATATCTCACGAAAACCCGGGTCGTCGCCATTTTAAAAACAAGTACGCAGCCACGCCTACCCGATCTCAGAAACTTCGAGTATAAATCTGGAGTGATATGAAGGACGCTAAAGTTCAATTCCATTAAGCTTTACAGGGGCGCTTCGCGTCATCATCATGCTTCGTTTTCTACATTTTACTCCTGTATTTTCCACCTCCAGCTGTGAATCCATTGTTTTCTTGCTTTGCTGCTCGCATCTCTTCTTCATTAGTAATCCTTTTTCGCGCTCCTACGGAATTTGTTCCCAGGGTCTGATTCCCAGGGGCAGCTCGTCAAAACCTCAGGTTACAAGTCTGTACACTGTAAATCTCAAAAAGCTTATTCCAAGACGCATCTTTTCACAGCTGTCTTTTTCGAATGCGCTATTGATTCTTTTCACAGCTCTGCGCTAGAAACATAACAGTAATGCGAAATTTCAGGTATACACGTTTAACAATATGTCTGTAATGCCGGAATCTGTGTGGGATTCCGCTGATGCGCGAGAAATCAGAGGAACGGATGGACAGCTCTTTCCACCAATGCTTGAGGAGGGACGGGAACTTGATATATTCGCAGGTCCCATGTGCAGGTGAACCGATTTTGCTTGACAATGCGGATGACGAGGGTCCGTAGGATTGCAACGCTTCCATTCCAGGTCGATCACGATGGACTTTTTGAGGCGATCTGATTTTCAAGATGTTACCGCGTTCCGCTACGGGTTACCTTCAAAAATGTTCGATCCAAAGATTCCTCGGAACCGTGGATTCTGCAACAGGAATGGCACTCCTACCTTTTTCAATGCATCTATTCAAATTCGTAAGCAGTTCGTTCAGCACTTCCTATTTGCAGGTATTATACCTATATGTCGTTACAGCTGGATGCTTACCCAAAGGTTTACTCGATATCGGAAGATGCCTTCCTGGTACACCGCGAATCTACATTTCAAACCCTCACTTTTTCGGTGCGGATCCCGCGGTGAGTTTTTTTCCTGTGTAGCACAAGTGCTTTATTTTTGTGGGTTCTATTCTAGAAAATTAATCCTCTTCAAAACTTTTCATTTGGGGTGGGGGGTGGGGGTGGTCGTTTGGCGCGATCCCATTACAGTTGACGTGTTCTGACAGGTAACGGTACGTGCCTACCAAGTTGGATAACTGTCCGAATCACTGAACTATAAGGTTTTCGTGATTTATAGCCCACCAAAAGCAGTGACTGTTGGCTATAGTGCTCATGTTTTCATGCCAAGTCTTCTTCTAATGATCACTACAAGGGAGGTCGTTCAGGGCGTGCCCCGCTTTTTCGAAACGGTTTATTGCACTTTGTAGGGCCTTGCCCATGAACCATAAAAGTGGGCTTCGTTTTGGCTGAAAGGTACTATCGGAATCGAAGAGAAAAGTAGTCGGGGTATGGGGTCTTACTTGTGGCACGTAATCAAGCGTGAACGGCTTCATGGAATGGTTTCTTCAACGATCGGAGGAATGTTCAGCAACAACGATCGGATGGCCTAGTGGATAGCGTGAAGGATTCTCAAGCGGACAGGGGTGGGGTTGATGGTTCGACTCCCCTCGGCGTGCGAGTTTTTGCATTTTTTATGTTTTGCTGTTTTCGCGTTCA